AAGCATGTACTTTATCTAATGTTCTCTGCATCTGTTGAGCTAATCATACGATTTTTATTCTTGCATTTGTTAATGTAAATCATATTTATTGATTTGTGTATGTTGAATAATCTTTGCATACCAAGGTTAAATCTCACATGATCTGGGTGAATGATCTTTCTGATGTATTATTGGATTAAATTAGCTAATGTTTTGTTGAGGATTTTTGCATCCATGTTCATTAGTGATGTTGGTCTATAGTTCTCTCTCTCTCTTTTTTTTTTTTTTTGTATCTCTTTCTGATTTGAAAATTAAGGTGATGCTGGCCTCATAGAAGAATTTTGGCAAGATTCCCTCCCTTTCTGTTGTTTTGAATAGTTTGAGAAGAATTGGAATTAGTTCTTTTTAGTCTAGTCAAATTCAGCAGTGAAGCCATCGCGTCCTGGGCTTTTCTTTGTTGGGAGAGACTTTGTTACTGATTCAGTCTCTACCTTGATTATTGGTCTGTTTAAGTTTTCTGTGTCTTCATGACTCAATTTTGGTAGATTCTGTGTGTCTAGGAATCTATTCATTTCCTCTGAATTTTCCAATTTGTTGGCAAATTGCTGTTTGTAGTAATTCCTGATGATTCTTTATTTTAGTTGTATCTGTTGTTACATCTCTTTTTTCATCTCTGATTTTATTGATTTGGGTCTTCTCTTTTTTTTTTTTTTAATGATATATCAGTTTTGTTTATTTTTTCAAAACACCAGCTCTTCATTTCACTGATCTTTTGTATTATTTTTTGTTTCAATTTTGTTTATTCTCTAACTTTAGTTACTACTTTCCTCCTAGTAATTTTGAGTTTACTTTGTTAATTTTCTAGGTCCTTGAGATGAATTAATAGATCATTGATTTGATGCCTTTCCAATTTCTTGATGTAGGCACTAATTGCTAAGAACTTCCCTCTTAACACTGCTTCTGCTCTATCCCATAAGTTTTGATATGTTTTATTGTCATCTTCATTTGGTTCCGAGTATTTTTTTATTTTCCTTTTGATTTCTTCTTTAACCCACTGTTCTTTCAGGAACATGTTAAATCTCTATGTGTTTGGATATGTTTTAGAGATTCTTAAATTATACATTTCCAGCTTCATTCTATTGTAGTCAGAAAAGATACATGATATGATTTCAATTTTTTTAAATTGCTGAGATTTGCTGTGTGGACTGGCATATTGGTCTATCCTATAGAATGTTTCCTGCACTGATGAAAAGAATGTATTCTTCCAATTCTGGGATGATATGCTGTAGATATCAGTTAACTCCATTTGGTCCATAGCTCTGTTATTTCTTTGTTAATTTTCTGTCTAGTTGATCTATCCATTGATGAAAGTGGGTTGTTGAGGTCTCCTATTACTATTGTATTGGAGTTTATGGCTCCCTTTAGATCCATTAATATTTCTTTTAAATAGCCAGATGCCATGGCATTGGGTGCATGTGTATTTACTATAGTCATGTCTTCCAATTGAACTTATCCCTTCATCATTGCATAATACCTCTCTTTGTCTCTTTTAACAGTTTTTGTGTTAAGGTCTGTGTTTCCTGATATTGGGATGGCTATACTTGTTTTTTCTTTCTGTTAGCATGGAGTATCACTTTCCATTCTTTTACTTTTACTCTTTATATCTTTGTTGGTGAGGTGTGTTTCTTGTAGGCAGCAAAATGATGGATTTTATTTTTCAGTCCATTCAGCCAATCTGTATCTTTTAATTGAAGAATTTAGGCCATTTATATTCAAAGTTATTATGGATAAGTACCAATTTTGTTCTACTGTTTTTCCATAAATAATCCTATAGCTTGCTTTGAATTTCCTTTGTACTTTTAATAGGAGGTTTTTCCACCTTCACATTCTCTCATAATTGTAACTGTCATTCTCTGAGTCATTTTTAAGGCTGGATATGCAGTGACAAATTCTTTCAATTCTGTCTGTTGTGGAAGGTGTTTATTTCACCTTTATTTATAAATGAGAGTTTTGCTGGGTACAGTATTCTGGGTTGACAGTTGACAGTTTCTTTGTTTTAGGACTTGGACTATGTCTCTCCATTCTCTCCTAGCCTGTAAGGGTTTCTGATGAAAAATCAGCTGTTAGTCTAATTGGGGATTCTCTGAAGGTAATCTGGCATTTCTCTTGTGTTCATTTTAGAATCCTTTGGGTTTTTTTTATGTTTTACTGTTAAAAATTGACTGTAATATGTCACAGTGAAGATATTTTCTGATTGTGTCTATTAGGAGTTCTATGTGCTTCCTGTACTTGGATATTCCTTTCTTTCTCCAAATTAGGTATGTTTTCTGTTATTATTTCACTCAATAGGTGTTCTAATATATTCTCTCTTTCCATGCCTTCAGGAACTCCTAACAAACATATGTTTGGTCATTTGATAGTATCCTATAAATCTTTTTTCAGTTTTTCTAATTTTTTCTTTTTCTGAGTTATTTACAAGGATTTGTTTTCTAGTGTGGGCATTCTTTCTTCTTTTTCACCAAGTCTGTTGTCTGGGCTTTCCACTGCATTTTCTATTTGACATACTGAATTCTTCATTTCTTTTTTTTTTTTAAAGATTTATTTATTTGAAAGTCAGAGTTACACAGAAAGAGGAGAGGCAGAGAGAGAGAGAGAGGCATAAAGGGAGGGAGGGAGAGAGAGAGGCAGAGAGGGGGAGAGAGAGAGAGAGAGCGAGAGAGAGAGCATCCAATGGTTCACTCCCCAGATGGCTGCAGTGGCCGGAGCTGTGCGGATCCGAAGCCATGAGCCAGGAGCTTCTTCCGGTTCTCCCATGTGGGTGCAGGGGCCCAAGGACTTGGGCCATCCTCTACTGCTTTCCTGGACCATAGAAGAGAGCTGGACAGGAAGTGGAGCAGCTGGGTCTCAAACCGGCGCCCATATGGGATGCTGGTGCTTCAGGCCAGGGCGTTAACCCACTGTGCCGCAGCACCGGTCCCCCTGAATTCTTCATTTCTAATATTTCAGTTTGATTTCTCCTCACGGTTTCAATCTCTTGGCAGAATTTTTCATCCATATTGTATATGGATTTCTTTATCTTATATGTTTGTTTTCTGATTAATTTTATGAGCATTATTTTTTATTCATTTTAGACATCTCATCAATCTTTTAATCTTCACATTCTAATTTTGAAGTGTTGTGTTCCTTTTGGGAAGTTAAATTGTCTTCCTTGTTTCTTGTATTTGTGCATTAATTTTTAGGCAATTGTGGAAACACTTGAATTTCTCCTCTGATGGATTTTGCCTTTGAACTGTGCTTCTGTGTCTTAGTAGATATCCACATGTGTGCGAGGTAGGGCCAGGGAGCTCTGTTTAGTGCTCAAGGGTCAGGCAAAAATACAGGGTGACACCTAGGATTAGCATGGTAGATCTCTATTGTCAGCAGTGTGGAGGATATGACCACCCTGTTGGAGTATTCGCAACCTCACCACCTCCTCTCTTCCAAGGTGATTAATGCCCAGGGTTAGCCTACAGTGGGTACAGTCCTCGACCAATGCAGGCACATGAACCACACAAAGGATCTGTGTGGTCCTCAGTGTGAGCACGGAACCCTCTGTGATGACCCACCCCGGGCAGTCAGGGAGATCTGAGCCTCTGAAGCCAGACGTAGTGATTGCCTAAGGACCCAGCCACACCTCTCAGCCTGTGTGCAGTCACAGAATTCTCACCGTCACAGCACACAAGGCTCCCACAGTCACGGGGAGCAGAGGATCCACTTTCAGTCTCATTAGCCTGCCCCAGCCACGGAGGGAGGAGAGGCATTCCCAGAGCCTACTGCCTGTGGGTACTCCATCTTGGCAGTTTGAGCCCTGAAGCCTGTGATAGGTTGAGAAGATAGGAGCACCTCACAATCCTAAGTGGATGTCCAGCCCCCTGCCAACCCTCCATGCCTGTCTCTATGTCAGTGGGGAATGTGGATTTTTCCTTCTGGTAAAATCTCCTGGTTGTGCATGGGCAAAGCTGCCGGCCGCAGGGTCTTCTGGCATCAGGTTGGCACCTTCTCCCTGCCAGTCACAGGGCACCCTCAGTGAGGGACAGGGAGAAAGAAGTGAGATTTTTCTTCGCTTTATTAGGTGTGAACCCTGCCCTGGGCTAGGGCTTCAGACTAGAGTCCAAGTCAGTGTCGGTCAGGTTCTCCCTCAGGCAGTGTCACCAGTGGCTTGGGCTACCACAGTTTTCTCTCACCTTGTTCTCACAAGCTGGCTCCTCCATTCTTAGACTGCTGGAGTTGTGGGTGGTGTCCCTGCTCGTCGTTTTGTGTCCTTTCCATGTTGCTCCACAATGTCCCTCTTTGTTTTGTAGAATTTCCACTGCAGATTTCTCTCCAACTCTCCCCTGGGAATGCACTTCTTCCACTTTTTGTTTGCTATCTTCCCCTGGTGAAAATCAGTTTTCCCTGTTTCTCATCTAGAGTCTCTCTCAGTATACATAGTATTTTATAGAAAATAAACAGGTCAGCAGGGCAAACTTTCGATGTAGTGGTTAAGATGCCCACATTCCATGTTGGAATACCTGCTCCTAATACAGCTTCCTGCTGATATGCACCTTGTGAGGCAGCAGATGATGGCTCAGGTACTCAGGTGCCTACCACCCACATGAGAGACCTGGATAGAGTTCCAGACTCCTGGCTTTGATCTGGCCCAACCCTGGCTGTTGTGGCCATTTGGGGAGGGAATCAGCATATGAATATTTTCTTTTTCCCTCTCCATCTCCTTCTCTCCCTCCCTCCCCTCTTTGCTCCGTTTGCCTCCCTCTCATTTTATCTCTCTGCCTTCCAAATAAAGTAAAAAGAAAAGGAACAGGTCTAGAGAGATAAAAGATATCATCCAAATGGTATGCTTAATATACTAGTAGGACTAGAAAATCTAATCCAATTCCAATCCTTTTTCTTTTAAAAAATGCTTTCATTTGCCACATATATAAAATGTTACGTTCTGCACATTTGCATTTTTACAGATATACTTTTCTTTTTCTTTCCAATAGGTAGAAAACAGACCAAAGTATTATGGAAGAGAGTAAGTATGGGTTATCAGAAACTGTTTTATAGATTGGCATATGTAACAGACAGGTAAATTGATTCTTTTAACAAAAATATAAGCGAAGTAAAGGGGGTATTCAAATTTGGTGGGATTAAGTTTTTCTTTCTGAAAACAAATGTAATGTTCGAATTGGTGAAAACATAGAAAATAAACACAAATATAAAGATAAAAATAGCATAGGACAATGTACATGAATAATGTTAAAGATGCAAACCATTTGAGTAAATAAATAATCCTGGATGTATTTGAGGAAATTGTATATGTACTCACGTATGTATGTGTTTTCTACCTGTAAGTATGTGAGGGGGTCTTGAAAAGTTTGTGGAAATGCAAATTAGGAAAACTCAGTGTAGATTTCAGGATTTTTTGCACCAAAATAACTTATCTTTTAATTTCATCTTCTTAACAAATTTTTTAAGCATCCTCATACACATATATATGAGGGTGTCTTCAAAATGTTCATGAAAAATATACATTATCTTTTTTTAAAGATTCATTTATTCATGAAGTAAAGTGACACACAGAGAGAGGGAGAGACAGAGGTCTTCACCTGCTGGTTCACTCCCCGAATGGCCACAACGGCCAAAGCTGCTCCAATCCGGAGTCAAGAGCCAGGAGTTTCTTCCGAGTCTCCCATGCAGGTGGGGGGGCCCAACATTTGGGCTATCCTCCCCTGTTTTCCCAGGCCATAGCAGAGAGCTGGATCGGAAGAGAAGCAACTGGAACATGAACTGGTGCCATATGGGATTCTTGCGCTACAAGCAGAGGCTTAGCCCACTATGCCACAGCTCTACCCCAGTGCTTTATCTTTTAATTCTATCTTTACGTGAGCTTTTTTTCTTTTTTTTTTTTTAAAGATTTCTTTATTTATTTGGTAGACAGTGTTACAGAAAGTGGAGAGAGAGAGGAGAGAGAGGGAGAGAGTGGAGAGAATGAAGAGAGAGAGAGAGAAAGAAATCTTCCATCTGCTGGTTCACTCCCCAGATGGCCACAATGGCTGGAACTGGGTGGATCCAAAGTCAGGAACCAGGAACTTCTTCCAGGTCTCCAACATGGGTGCACGGGCCCATGGACTTGGGCCACCTTTTGCTTTCTTCCTAGGTGCATCAGCAGGGAGCTGGATCAGAAGTGGAACAGCTGGGACTTGAACCTATGCCTGTATGGGATGACCGCATTACAGGTGGCAGCTTTACTGGATACATCACAGTGCCAGCCCCTCATGAGTTATTTGAAGGCTTCAACTGAGGTAGACTAAGCTATTGCTGTGAGGAAGAACTCCAGAAAGTTGCGGCTTGTCCCTAGCAAGGTTGCTAAATTATTAAGATGCTATTTCAAGACCTTTTAAATATGTCATTTCAGGGTAGGCTATGTTGAAACACTTGAAAAATGCTCATTATCAGTATTAAGTGAAAAAAGTCAATCTATAAAATTACATGTAGGAGCAAGTGTTCAGCTTAGCATTTAAGGTACCCATAACTCACATTAGAATACCTAGATTTGATTCCGAATTCCAGCTCCTGACTCAAATAAGTACTTGGGTTCCTGGCACCCTCATGGGAGACCTGAATTGAGTTTTTGCTTCCTTACTTTAGCCCAGTCACTGCAGGTATTTGAGAAGTGAATGAGCAATGGAAACTCTGTCTCGGTCTCTCTCTGCCTCTCAGATGAATAAATAAAAATTTAAGAAATATATATGTGCAGGGGCCAGTGCTGTGGCATATCAGGGCAAGCTGCCCTCTGCAGCACCGTCATCCCATATGGGAGCCGTTTCAAGTCTCAACTGCTCTGCTTCTGTTCTTCCTGCTAATGTACCTGGAAAGGCAGTGGAAAATGGCCAAGTGGTTGGGCCTCTGCCAACATGTGGAAGACCTGAAAGAAGCTTCTGGCTTTGGCTTGGCCCAGCCCCAGCCATTGCGGCTGTTTGGGGAGTGAACCAATGGATGGAAGATCTGTCCCTCTCTGTCTCTGTCTCTGTCTCTGTCTCTCTCTCTCTCTCTCTCTGCCTTTACCTCTCTACCTGTAATTCTGACTTTCAAATAAATAAATAAATGTTTAAAAATATATATTTTACAAGATAAATGTATTATTCCAAATTCATGACTATTGTTTCATTCATACAAGAAGCTGCCATTTCTTTTGAGCAATGAGTCAATGTAATTACTGTAGTGGAGGAAAGAATTTCCATGTACTAACCTAGATTTGAAAGCTAGGACTGTGAAATAAATTAACAATGAGCAGATTAACAGGACACAGAGTATACAAGCTCATTGATTTTTAATATCATTCACACAGGGACATCACTGGAAAAATAAAGAGAATACCTAAAACTAGTGCGAATTAAGGGCTTAGTAAATTTTAATAGAAGAGAGCAAGGTGAGATACAAGTCGATTAGGGAAGAGTAAATGATTTTAGCAAAGATGAATGGACTCTTAGAAGAACAGAGAGGAGATATGCTAGTTTATGACAAGCTTTTATTGACTTCATTTCCTTTCCTATAATACAGTCGGTCTTTGCAGTTGTTGAAACTCCTGGGGAGAGGGTGGGTGACAGGTGAGTTGCTTTTTAGAGGATCTATGTTCAGGAAGATTAGAAGATTTCAGAGAAAGCCTGTCCCTACATTTGTGTTTTTCAAGTACTTTCAGCTCAAAATTATGAATACACCAAAGTAGTGTATTTTGGGATGACATAGTGTTACTACCTTTTTTCCCCAAGTTTTTATGTCAAATTGTAAAAGTTGAATCTGCTGTGCCTATGTAAATAATATGTCATTTATGTTACTATGTTTATTTTTCCTGCTTTTTGCTTTGTTAATCAAAGATTTTAGCAGAGAGTGAAAGCAAAGTATTAACGGTTTGCTTTTGGCTTGAGAATTCAGTAATGCAGATTATGAACATTATTGGGCAATGGTGACGATTAAGGACAACCTAGGGTCCTGGAAAACTGCCAGCATAGACTCCAAGCCAAATTTTGGATCGGTGCCACGAGTGAGAAGGAAGGAAATGGGACATAGTTATATATGTTTTTTATAACAGGTCCATATGATCAAATGGGTTGATCTTCCCTGAAATGGATGTGAATTTTGATTCTGTAGTTGTTAACTGGATTGGATAGCTACTTTGGTGCTGTTCTTATCATCACAGAGAAGTTGGCCAGGGTCCAGGTGCAGAGAAACATAAGCACAGTTAAACCTAAGTGCTTCTCTTGGACTGTGGGCACTAGTTTGTCTAGAAAGCAGCGGGAGAAGGGGGAGGTGCTGTTTTGTCCTGCTTTATTGAGAAATGTGGAAAGCATATAGTTTCTAAGTTTTCCCTGTTTCTTAGATTCCATGGCATGATTTCCAGAGAAGCAGCTGACCAGCTCTTGAGCGTGGCCGAGGGGAGTTACCTCATTCGGGAGAGCCAGCGGCAGCCAGGAACCTACACTTTGGCTTTAAGGTTAGTCTTGGACCTGTAATTAAAACTGTGCTGTATTTGAAACCCTCTTAATAGAGGGCTTTAAATTTTAAAAACATCCAGCATGTAATTGAATTGGTTCTTGTTTTCTTGGGGCCTAATTACCATTTTAATAGCTTTGCGACCTTTTAAAAATTCCTCATGAATGGTAGTACTCAGTAATTAAGAATTGAAAAACTTTTAAAGCATTTTTATTATAGCTGCTTCTTTCCATCCCATTCTACTCCTTTTCTTTCTTATCTGTCTTACTGTTTTGGCTTCCATCTATGTCTTAAATAAGGCAAGAAACTAAAAGAAAAAAAAACTTACAAAGCTAAACCCCATGTCATTTCTCTTAGGTTGGCTTTTTGTTGAAGCAGCTTTTCTTGGGAGCTCTGGGCTTTTCCCTATCAACTGGACTGTGACTAGTGTTTTAGCTGTTCTTAACTTACCCTGCAGTGGCCAGAAGCAAGTATTTCCACTGACCCAGCACTAATCACCCAATAACAAGAAAAAGAGTGCAATAGCCTGGTTATCTATTGTACTTACCTCATGCCAGGCCTCCAACCTCATTTATTCCCCACAGACAACTCTTTGTGCTATTGTTATCTCTACAGGTGAGGAAATAGAGGACCTGGAGGTTGAATAATTTAGTCAAGATCATACATTTAATAAATTGTGCACCTGGCATTTGAACCCTGACATTCTGGCTTCATAATCTGTGTTTTTAATTGATTGACTTTGCTACCATTCCAAAGGCTTAGACTCATTGTCCATTGTCTTTGTTTATGCATTCATTTGTTTGTTCCTACATACATTCATCAGTTCTTTGGAAATGACTAAAATGTGGTAATTTCCCAAGAAAGAGGTTAAAGAAATGACATTTCTTTTGGTAGCTACAATGGAGGACAGAAAGATAATGTTACTGGTTGGGACTAACAAATCTAACTCCTTCTCCAAGATCACTTAGGCCTGCTCTCATTTCTGTCCACAAGATTTAGTGTCAGTCTTTCTGATAAAAGAATGATGTGGGATAAGTACCTGGCTCCTGCCATCGGATCAGTGCAGTGCGCCGGCCGCAACGTGCCAGCCGCGGCGGCCATTGGAGGGTGAACCAACGGCAAAGGAAGACCTTTCTCTCTCTCTCACTGTCCACTCTGCCTGTCAAAAAAAAAAAAAAAAAAAAAAAAAGAATGATGTGATCCAGTCTTATTTCATACTGAATTCCGAATCAATTCCATACTTAACACAGTACAATTTGTTACAGGAGTTCATGGAAGTTTTCTTTTTATGACAAATTATAAAATATAACTTCCCTTTCCATGTCTTAAAAATTATATTGTTTTTTAGGTTTAGATTATTATATTCAAGAGAAATAAAATCTAGTCTAGCTATTCAGATATCTATTCGTGTTGTCACAATTGAGCTCAAAGATGGGGCAAACTACAGAATTTTTGATGTTAGTTTTAGCATCTTTCTATTCTGACATTTTATAATCCTATTCTAAAATTCTGCTCCACTGCGTTTCCACATAGCCTGATCATCTGATTGCCTGAAGTAAAAAGCCTTGATGTAAAGGCTTAGTTTTGTCTCATTGCAATGTTGAAGTAGTTTCCATTACATTATGTTGGCTGTCATCTTAGAAGGCAGACATCGTGCTGTTTTTCCTGACTGACACTAAATATTCCAAGCTCTTCTCATTCCCAGCTTCTTACCCTCCTAAACTCTACTCACAGCTTTTAAGTTTATAATCACTTCCCATCCACTCTGGCCTAGTAAATCTTGGAATAGGAATTAGAGAATAGATGAGCATTAAATTGATAGGAATGTTTTTACTTCATAGGTCTAGGGTAATATACACCCTTCCTTTTGTTATTGAAAATTACCCTAAAATCATTACTTGGAAAAGAAATAGTAATGAGTAAAAGATGCTGAAGTGATGCTAGGGAGAGAAATTTGTAAATATGCATTTTGAATAATTTACATTCTAAAATATGATTGACATTTTCTTTGATTTAAAGTAGATGTAGGGTAGGGAAATGTTAAGCAGAAAATGAAATTTTGTATTGATAAATGTATTGTTCTCTCCAGACACTCTGACTTCAACTGATGATTCTTCCAATTCACATCAGTTTGTTTTGTTTTTCACATAATGTGTGATCCATGTGGGCTTAGCCAGTTTTCCTAGTTTATAGCCATCCATCTCACCAGAAGGTCATCATGTTGTTTCCCCAACACGTGTCCAGAGTCCCATCTCCTCCAATGTTTATTATGCATTGATGGTACTGACCAAGGGCTCTAAAATTAGCAGTAAATCCTTAAGTTCTTCAATAGGTCCCTCAACTTCAGTATATCCAAAAGTGAACTCTTCACTTTTACCCCCAGATATATTTTAATATTTCTGTTCTCTTTATTAACTGGTAAACACTATTATTCAGTCAGTTCACACAAGATAAAAACCAAGAAATTATTTTCTTTTTTCTCTTAGATCTCTTTTAAGATGTTTTTAGCATCAGACTCATAGAATGACGATCACTTTAAGTAACACTCTGATCTCAGAATCAGCCCTTAAGGCTTCCTGGTCTGGCTGAAAAGCCCATGAGAGCATTTCAGGCATGGTAAGCCACAACAGTGTGGCAAAAAATGTTCTACATGTAGGATCTCTGTGAGTGAGACCCCAGTGGAAAGAAGTGGCCATCAAAGAAGGATGTACTTTTCTGTGAAGGAAGGAGAGAACTTCTACTTTGCTTATAGTCTTGTCCAAATACTGATGGAGTTTGTGGACTCAAAAGGCTTCCATAGTTTAGGCAGCTCATTTCAAGAGACTCGGGTGGTCACTGACGTCATACATAAGAGTGTTAATTGGTAAATTAACAACAGGACTCACTGTGCGCCAACTCCCCATGCAGGACCTCTGTCCTTAGTGAGTTGTATTGAGAATTAACTGTAAAACCAGTTCTCAAACTGTGTGTGTGTGTGTATGTGTATGTGTATGTGCATGTGCGTGCAAATTATTGAAATCTTTACTTAGTATAGAGTTGGTCTTGTGTCTACAAAGTTAATTGAAAATTAATTTTAATGGAGAATGGGTCTGGCAAGGGGAGAGGGAAGAGGAGGAGGGGTGTGAGTGTGGGTGGGAGGGCTGATAGGGTGGGAAGAGTAACTATATTTCTGAAGTTGTACTTATGAAATTTGTAGTCCTTAAAAAAATTAAAAAAGATGTGTGTAGGTCCTAGCATCATTATTTAGTGGCTCCTACAAACTGTATCCAACATCAAATATATATTTTTATATTAAAATTGTCCAAGTTTTTTTTTTTTTTTTTAAGATTTACTTATTTATTTGAAAGGCAGAGTTAGAGAAAGGAGAGAGAGACACACACACAGAGAACTTCCATCTGCTGGCTCACTACCCAAATGGCTGCAACAGGTGGAACTGGGCTAATCCAGAGCCAGGAACCCTGAGCCAGGAGCTAGGATCTTCTTCTAGGTCTCCCATGTGGGTCTAGGGGCCCAAGTATATGGGCCATGTTCTGCTGCTTTTCCAGGCAGATTAGCAGGGAGCTGGATTGGAAGTAGAGCATTTGAGACTCCAGCCTGCACCCATTTGGGATATTGGCACCACAGGTGGTGGCTTCACCCACTATGCCATAGCACTGACCCCATATAATAGTTTTTTTAAATGAAAAATGTAAACTGCTTTTGAAATTTATTTTTGTAGTTTTCCTTTTTTGTTTTGAGCCATGCTTTTCATTTTACTTTTCATAGGCATTGAAAGTTCCAGGTATTGTACATTTATTATCTAATGGTTAAGAGAATTATTTCTTATTTACTCATCTTACATAGCCAAACCCAGTAATTTTATTTCTTAAGTGTTTCTCAGAATTTCCCTTCCTTTTCAACTGTGAGAAAAGGCAGCTTCCTGGACTAGTTCAGTAACTACCTAAGAAATCCCCCTCAGTTCAGTCTTGTCCTTTCTAATGCATCCTCTACAGGCTCATTAGAGACCTACCTTAAAATCTCAGCGGCTAAAAGGTTGTAGGGTTGAGCAGAGCTCAACATTTCCAAGGACACACCTCCCTCTCACGCTAGCATTTACCTTGTGCTTGTAGGGTCTTGCTCCCTCACTTATGAGCTTTGTGTGCACTGGGAGGTGTTATTTAAGGAGTGTGTATTGTACTTACGCTGTGCCAGTGCTGGCTTTCTGTGGTCAGCCATGAGGGCATGGATGATGCGGCTTCTGTGGGTAAGGTCTTCTTTTCCTCTTTGGCTATCTTTTCTCCCACTCCCCATGTCTGCCCGAAGTTCACCCAGGCTTACCTGGCTTTTCTGTTGATCTTTGATTCAGGAACGATTGTTACTCAGTGTTTATAGTGCAAGTGGAACATAGTGTATAGGTGAAGAGAAGGTACCATCCCAGGCACTGCATTATGATTCATGAAGTATGTTAGAGGAGCTTTAGGGTTTTCTGTATATTGATTTTGACAGCATTTGCATGAGCGATAGGTTAATGTGATATCATAGCAAATATTAATTATAAGTAACCTAAAACAGTTTTAATACTTTTGGATTGAGGCGTCTGTGTTATGGTGCAGTGGATTAAACCACCACCTATGACGCTGCCATCCCATTTGAATGTCTGTTCAAGGCTCAGCTGCTCTACTTCCTCTAACTCCCTGCTAATGTATCTGAGAAGGCAGCAGAAGATGGCCTAAGTGCTTGGGCTGCGGCCATCACTGTGGAGTTCCTGGATTCTGGCTTAAGCCTGGCCTAGCCCTGGCCATTGAGGCCATTTGGAGAGTAAACCAGTGGATGGAAGATCTCTCTCTATGTAACTCTGCCTTTCAACTAAGGAAATAAATAATTTTAAAAAGAATTTGGCTGAAAATGTTTTCTGCATGATTTTCGTAGTTTGGGAACTAATCTTGAAAAAATGTATTTTATAAAGTAATACAATTTTTCTCATAAGAAGGAAAGTGTTATGTTCAGTTTGGACATTTTTTT